AACAAATGTATTTGTAATAATAGGCTAAAATTGATGAATGCACCTGGGTGGGGCGGGGGTACGGTCGCTGCTTTAACGAACCTGGTCTGAGGCTAGGTTGGTACACTAAACTACTAGGCAGGGGTTGAGCTTCGGCTCTTTGGGCCCGCCTCTCAAACCGGTAATCAAAGAGTGGAGATACCTGAGCCTATTGGGCTCTATCATATCAGCATTTGAAACTGTGTATGGAGTCTGCCTCCACCACATCACTTCCTAATGCAATCCATTTGAGTACTATGACACTACAAATTGTCTTCCTAATTTGGGGTACTGTGTCAAAAACTTTCCGACAGCCAAGAAAATGCAGTCTGCCTACCCCTTCTCTTTCTTGTTTAGTCTTTGTCACGTGATCGTAGAAGTCAGTTAAACCGGTGAGGAAAGACTTACCCTCCCTGAACCCATGTTGATGGGTTGTCACGAAGTCCCTTCTCTCCAGATGTGTTACTTCCATCACCTTGGATGGTATACAATTTAAGGACACTGGCCTGTAGTTCAGTGCCTCTTGCCTCTCACCTTTTAGTTTTGTAATTTTGTGTGTGTGTGTGTGTGTGTGTGTGTGTGTGTGTGTGTGTGTGTGTGTGTGTGTGTGTGTGTGTGTGTGCACATGTGGATGTGTGTGCGCATGTGTACACGCCTAGTGTATGTGTACGCATATCTGTATGTGTGTGCTCATGTGTATGTGTACTCACCTAATTGTGCTTGCCGGGGTTGAGCTCTGGCTCTGTGTGTGTGTGCTCATGTGTATCTGTGTGCTCATGTGTATGTGTGTGTTCATGTGTACGTGTATGTGTATGTGTATACATGTGTAATTACTATTCGTGTCTGCAGGATCGAGCTTTTAGCCACTTCTGACTTCCTTTCAACCTATTTTTCTCCTATCTTATCTACTACATATTTCTCTCACATAAACACATCCCCAGGAAGCAGCCCGTAGCAGCTGTCTAACTCCCAGGTACCTTTTTACTGCTAGGTGAACAGGGTGCATCAGGGTGAAAGAAACCCTACCCATTTGTTTCTGCTTCGGCCGGGAATAGAACCCGGGCCCCTTAGGACTACGAACCCCGAACACTGTCCACTCAACCGGAAAGCCCGTGTGCGCGCGCGCCCGCGAGCCTGAAGCAGGAAAGTTGAGTATTATTGCAGACGTACATTAGGACTTGTCTCCTGCAGCTTATTGCTTGCATCTCTGTTTCTCTATATCTCTTCCCCCCCCCCCCCCCCCCTCCCACACACACACGCACACGTCTGGTAATCTTGTGGCTCGTTATCGTTATCAGAACTCCAGTCAGTTTCATGTTTCAGTTTGCTGGGCGTCGTAGTGTTTTAATAACGAGGTGGTTGACCTCATCACTGGCATGGCGTGACTCACAGTGTGATGAGATGACCTAGATTATCTCTCTCTCTCTCTCTCTCTCTCTCTCTCTCTCTCTCTCTCTCTCTCTCTCTCTCTCTCTCTCTCTCTCTCTCTCTCTCTCTCTCTCCAGAAATGTTTTCCTCCTCTCACTAGACATGCTCTGAGTATCATCCTTTAAAGCCAGTCCAAGTAATGCATTCATGTTAAAAAAGTGAGTCTACATTACGGCCAAGAGTTTTGACCTATACAAGTGAACTCGTTTAAGTTTAGGCGACGTACCTGTCCTTCACAGCCTGATGTTACTGGTGGTGTCAACCATAACTTTATAGATTCCAAGAATGTGGTTTATATGTACCTGAAGCGGTGGGTTGGTGCTGTGTGGGTCCGTGGTGACTACCTGTAGCAGTGTCCTCACCTGTTTTGTGTTTAGTGAGAGTGAGCTTCAGTTTAAAGCTGTGTGTGGAGTCTGCCTCCACTACATCACTGTCTAATGCATTCCATTTGTCAACTATGATACTGAACAAATTATTTTTAATGTCTTTTTAGTTCATTTTGGTGCCAAGTTTCCATCTGTGTCCCTTTGTTTACCACCCGTGCTAAATAGTTTGTCTTTAATGAAAATCTATTTTCAAAAATACCCCGTCAATTCTCCTGATAATTTTTTAGGTAGTAACCATGTCTCCCTCAACTTTTGCGTCTTCCAGTGAGGTGAGGTTTAATTCCAGTAGCACTTTCTCGCAACTCATTCCTCTCTGTTTGGTGGCTTACCGTTGCACCTTCTCCAACTTCGTCTTGTATTTGACAAAGTATGGACTCGATACTTGAGCTGCATATATTCCAGGATTGGTCTGGTATGTGTTGTAAAAGGTCTTGAATGATTCCTGAAGCAAATTTCTTAAGGCAGTTCTTGTATTGGCCAACCGAGCATATGCCGCTGATGATATATTTTTGATGTGGCATTTAGAAGACAGATTTCGTGTTATATCGCCACCAGATCTTTCTCTCTACCTGATTCTTGAAGCATTTCATCTCCCATTTAGTACCCTGAATCTGGCCTCCTGTACCCTGTACTCATTTTCATTACTCTACACTTAATCAAGTTAAGCTCTAGTAGCCTTTTACTGGACCATTCTTTATTTGTCCAGGTCATCTTGTAGTCTCTTGCTATCTTCTCTTGTTAATCCTTCTCGTATGTGCGTGCGCGCGTGCATGCCCTCTCTTTTTTTGTATGGCCCAGGAACCGTACCGTTTAGTCTTGTCTTACGCAAACTATTGGTTCACACGGATGGCGAGGCCGTTTAGTCTTGAGAAATGTACGTGTCTGAATAAGTCAGCCAGGCAGACAACTATCAAACCAACACCAAACCAACAAAAAATTGTGTCATTGATAGTACAGGATCAGTAAACAGTAAACCCTTTTCAATTCATGGTTCATTTTTTTGTTTACAGTACACCTAGTTTAGGATGCGAGTAGAGGCTTTACGCTAATGGAAATCAATATCTATTTGCAAAAAGAGAAACTCCCAATATTACCCAATATTGATCCTTGCCTTCTCCAACTTAGTAAATTGTAACCTTTCCAGATCCATTTTTTGTTATATACGGAAGTGTACATAAAATATATCCGGCAGGTACCTGAAAAATCGAGACACCATCTTTGCCACACACGCATTGTATTATGACAGCGTGGAGTTAGTCCTCCAGCACAATAATCAAACAGCCAAACAGCTCTACTAGCCAGCATGCAACACGAGGATTCATGAGGCTGAAGCATGCTTGTCATCATGAAAAAATGCATACACACAGAAGCAAACCAGCAACTGCGCGTGTGCTGCCAGCGAGGCGGTGATTGGTGCGTTGTGGAGGCGGACCCCGCCGCTGGGGGAGGCTCTCCGGCCGGGGAGGGGATGGGGTACCATGGAGCACTGGCTAGGGGGAATGTCCATTGGGGTCTGGGGAATAATGGGGGGGGAGCCCTTGGGGGTTATCTGAGGGGGGGGGAGGAGTTATTGGGGGTCTGGGGGATGTTGGGGAGTGAGGGGGGGCAGACGGAGGTGCGGCCGCGCGCGCTGCACTCAAACATTTTCAGTAGCTGTCTTGCCGCCTTCAGGAGAGGTTGTGTTAGCAGATCATCGGTAAATATCTCTAACTTTTATATACATATACTTGTGTTTATAAGTGTTGCAGCAGAGAAACCTGGCTTTAATGTCTGACGTGAGCTGAGAAAATTGGTGGTAACAGCGAGCCTATGGATATTTACGTGCGTATAGGAGGCATTGGCTTGTGAAAGTGTGTATATATAATATATATACATGTATATAAATATATATGTATATATATATATATGTGTGTGTATATATATATATATATATATATATAGCATATGCAACTAATAGGATGGTGAACATCGTATTTTCTACTTGACACATCAATGTGTATCGACGGAACTGCTGCCCAATATCTAACATCAAACCTGAACAATTGTTTATCTTAAATGAAGATGCTTCCAAGAGTGTTTCCAGTGGAAAAATTTGTTCTGCCGAAGTAATGGTAACTTGGTACATCAGCTAGAAGAGAGTGGTGGACGTAGCCGTGAACGGTGAGGCGGGGAGAGGCGATGGAGCCACCGAGGGCGACAATATAAGAGATCACGGCAGGGATGGTGGGTGTGGTTCACGCGTCAGGAAACACGCCGCCACGAGTGGAAAGTTCCCAGGCGGTGGTCGCCCCGCGGCGTGACTCCCGCGCGTCTGCATACTCCCCTAGTGTGTGCGTGTGTGTATGGGTGTGTGCATGTATGTGCGCATGTGTGTGCGCGTACCGCAGACGCCCCTGCCCCTCCACAAGGCTTCAGGGAGATGCAATTTTCTCTTAACGATTTGTGTATTCAATAAAAGTCTTCAGAGTGCATGACTGGATTACAAAAGCAAAAGGGTCGTGTGTGTGGAGTAGACATTCTTGTGTGATTCACGGAGTTTGAGGGTTCTTTGAGGTCTTCAGGTTCTATTTCAGTTATGCAGCTTCCGTGATACGGTTGACATTCAGTTATTGGGTTCCGCCTTTAAACCTTCAATCTAATGGGGGACAGGTTCCTGAACCCTTTGGGCTTGTCATAACTACATTTGTGTAAAAGGTCTGGTTCCATCACTTAGACTCCAAAATTAGCTCTCTTTATTTGCTATTCAGATATCCTAGCTGTCGTTCATTCACTGTACCTTCCACTTGTTTTCTCCTTACATGCCCAGTAGTCTGATCTAGTCTATTCCCATAAAGATAAGTGTCCATTGTTTGTTCTCTTCTACTGATTTAGTTTCTTTAATTCTTTCCTCGTGACTCTGAGGTTAAGCTGCTTGGTAGAATAAATCTGTTTATTCCAGCTTACTTTTGTTGAAATTGAAATAAGTTTATTGAGGTAAAATACACACAAAGGGATGAGGTAGCTCAAAGTATTCTCACCCAGTTTAGTTTTGCTTGAAGAGAGATGTATGGTCTCAAGTGTTGGCGCTGTGGGTATGTACCGACCTAATTGTCTATACCCAGAATGAGATTTGGCTCGACAGCTGTCGTCTAGATATTGTACTCTTTTTTATATAGTAGATTTAAAGTTTTTATACCTGAATTTACTCGTGGGCCACAATAGTTTTAGTGGCCTTGACGTGGACAAGATGCCAGCGGCTTGTCAGTGCATCTCCCTCCCCCAAATTTGGCCTGTTTTTTCTAGCAGGATTTTAAAATTCAACATCTATTTTCTATCCTACATTGTGGCTTGGTGAGCTTGAACCTGTTGTCACATGTGTGCGTTTCAAGGCGAAGTCACTGTGCTTGAATACAGTAGTCCAGATGGGAATTCACCATAGATTTGTACAATTTATTAGCCACTTTATTTTCCTTGTACACTTGCAGCCCCAGCTCCATATGCTTATCTTGAGGTTATCTTGAGATGATTTCGAAGCTTAACGTCCATGCGGCCCGGTCCTCGACCAGGCCTCCTTTTGTTACACACCCCCAGGAAGCACCCCGTAGCAGCGGTCTTAACTTCCAGGTACCTATTTACTGCTAGGTAACAAGGGCATCAGGATTAAAGAAACTGTCCATTTGTTTTCGCCTCCACCGGAGATCAAACCCGGAACCTCAGGACTACAAATCCGAAGCGCTGTCCACTCAGCTGTCAGGCCCACTTTGGTTTGTTAGTACATTTATGCGTAAAGCTCACTTCACTGTTTTACTCGCCAGGATGTGTTTCATTGGCGAGCTTCCAGCTCTTGGTGCCCCATTTTTCAGTTGCCTTTTTTTTTGCAATTTCTCCCCACCCTCTTGCACCGTGCACCTAGCGAGTGGGCTATAGGTTACAGAGGCACATAACTTACTCTGTAGCTAAACCCCAATATTTAGCAAAGGGGTGTTACAGCATTAACTCTGTAACTAGTTGAAATCCGTGCATGTTTGTTTGGCTAAGCAACTTTAAATGTAACTAGTTCACTACACATATAAATAACTGTGCTTAAGGAACACTAGGGGTCCAGTTCCGAACCAATTAGACGAGATTAACCTTTCTGCTGTCACTCGGGACTTGACTGGTAAGCGGTCCTTAATAAACTAAGTTCCTAGCCTTCGTAATTGCTTCTCATATCAAATCTTGAAACTGTATTGAGTTAGCTTCAACCACTTCCCCTTTTAGCTCATTCATCGCTCATTGTAATTTGTGAAGAAGCGCTTTCTTGCATACTGTGTGAGAATGAAGTGTATTTCAGGAGCCACTTAGTTAAATTCTTCATGGATTCATCTGCTATGGTAGCAGTCAACTTGCATCTTGTTCTGGAAGTTATTATTTGTGCTAACATTAGGATAGACTTGCAGTATCGCATTTTCATTCGTAGGGAGTTGATGACATTTCGATTACACCACATGAAACAATTGTTAAATTGGGATCACCGCAATGTGGTGACAAATTATTTATTTGCGATGTTCAACGTGTTTTAAAACGAGTACATACGCCACATAACAAAAGGAAAAAGTTATAGTTCTCTTCCTGTCTGGCAAGGGATGGAGGCAGGCACTGAGCTGGCTAGGTTGTTGAAACAGAAGCCCCGCACAGTTCTGGGTAAGGCCGCACGTTACTACCGCGCTGCTCCTCAACCTACGGAAATCGCCTACCTTGTTGGAAGTTTGGCTTCTTGCATCAAGTTAGACCCAGAAAATGTTTAAACATGTACCTACTTACGCTTCACATTTCGGTATTTTTTTACTGCCTGGTTTTTAAATTTCGATATACACATTGAAAAATGTCATCCTCACATGAGCGTGCGTATAATTTTATTTTAGTACATACGTAGCAATTCTGCCATGGTCATGCATGCTGATTCTAATAAATCGGTATTTGCCTCTTCAAATTATTGGCACAACCGCCAATATTTAGTCGTAGATAATGTTACACATTGACGTATTGGATCATAATAAATATTGGCTGTAGCAAGATAATCATTTGCCAGGGATCGATGAAGTCAAGAGAAGGTGGGTGAGGGCTGGTCGGGTCCAGACATGAGAGGAGGAACAGTGAGGGTACAGCCATTGATTATGTGCTACAGCATAGGCTGACAGCTTTGGTCTAAAATTTCGTAACATTTGGAAGAAAAAAAATTGGTGGGACGTATTGGCGAAACATTTCCTTTAATTTGTTTTAGAATAAATCTTGAATACAACGCAGTTGTATAATTATTTGTAATGAGTTTTACATTATATAGATTTTAAACGGGATTTTCCCAAGTCCATTATACATGGGGTATTAAAATCCCGTTTGATCATGGTCATCATGTTAAGAAATCTTGTAGATTCTTTTATATTATATACCTAATGAATGCTGCTCTTCAAACAAATGGCATAGGTGACCGCTTTTCTTTAGCGTTTTAAAACTAAATACTTGTGTTAATTATTACATGTTCATCAAAACTGACTCGTCTCTTGTGACGATAAGATTCAATAACACTCGCATTATATTTGTATAGCCTGACCATATAATATACACACCCACTGTACATTCCGTATGAAGCCGAGAAAGACTAATAGAGATTCTGGAGTAAGTTAATGATACAAGGTCGCATCCTTGTGAAGGTCAGTGGATGGCGAAGGGATCCGAGATAAGCCAAACAGGCTTCCTGCACCCAACAATAACGAAACTATATCACCTATAATTTATCTATCAAACTGCGCCACCTTATATAAGTTGAATCATTTTAGTTGCCTGGTGAAAACACTATCGGCTGCAACAGGGAAGGTTGCGCCATTGTGTGAAGCAATCATGCTGGTTCTGAAGCGTCAGCGGCTGCCATTGTGTAAGAATAAGACGGTTGTACACGGCATGACAAGACTTGAGACCATAATATCTTTATCATAAACAATGTCAAATTTGTCCAACTTCCAGTAATTCGTAAACATATGTCGACACTAAATTAGAACTTGGAGCTGCAAGATTCAGTAAGTTTCGCCAGAATTGAGAGATCTATATTGCCGCCAGAATTGAGAGATCTATATTGCCGTATTGATTTAATGTGTTTTGTAGTACATTGGTCTACGGGACTCAACCAAGGCATCCGGCTTCAAACCTCGACCAGGACATGAACGGTTGGGAACGTTTCCCAATGATGATGGCCTGTTCACATAGCACTAAAATAGTTAAAAAGAATTAGGCAGTTGTTTAGGGTTGCATCCTGGTGGAAGGTCAGTAGTTGGCCTAGAGGAGACCAACCATGAAGTACAGGCTTCCTATCCCATAGAACAGGAATTGTAAGCTTTGATAGTGTAAACATACACTATACACGTACTTTATTTAAATAGATAGTTGCAACTTATTACATAAAAATAAATTATTAGTTACTAATTACAGCAACTTTCATAAAGTTTATGTAAAGAGGCTTCCCGCTCCTCGCTGGAATTAAAAAAAAAAAAAGGACCTCCATTTTTCAGGACTTGGATAGGAGACCAAGGGCCGTAGGCTAGGGAGCAGGACAAGCATACTGGGCAAGTTTGCAAGGCACAAAAGTCATTGTTAATAATAAAATATGGAAAATAAGCAGTTATTACAGTCTGTTATCACAAACTTAAGAAAACTTGCTTAAGATACGTCGGCAGTTATGAAGGAAGCTCACGTCATCTTGCCACCCAGTATACATAACCCACGCCTGATACATCATACATTATTTAACGACTGTCACTATTAAGAAACATTAAATATCTAAATGAAAAATGCCCCTAAAAATTTGAAAGTAATATTAAACTTTCATCCGCCTGTCAGCCATTTGCAATGAGTGATTGACAACAGAAGCAGAGTGCTGTGATGGTGCCCAGGCCTGGTGGCCTCATGTGGCAAAACAAAACATCACATCCAAAAATAAAAGTTTCACATCCTGTTAAGCAATTCACTTGCCCAAAATATAAACTATACGGCTGATCTTATAGGCGATAAGAGTTGGAGTACAAACTTTAAAATATCTTTCAGTACTGTATGAATCACCGTAAATAGGCATCTTTTATGCCAGGAAATACGGGGGCATTGATTGGTTTCCCACAGATCTGTTCGGCAGTTATTGCTTTGTAATAATAAATTTTCTGATGGGGCAGGGGAGACCCATGCACAACCAGGTACCCCATCTAATATCGACTACATCAATATCTTTATTTTATCTGGTTGTGAAGTGATAAGTGGGCCTAGAGGAGTGCTTTTTACTGGCATGTATGAATGTCCGTATTTGTTTTTATGCAGTAACATTAATTCAGCATTCGGTACTTTGCAATATTACACAAAATCACAGCAGATTCAAATGCTCTAGATAATGTATTATGAATCTTCCTAAATGGTAATTTTAAGTAATGGAAAATTTATAGCATTAAATTTTTTGTAGGCTCCGAAATTATCTATGGACAATATATCCTAAATTACATTATAAAAACTGATTCATATTATTAAGACATGGAAATGTTTTCCAGTTTCACGTGTATAATGCAACCTTGGCTTAGTTATTCTGGGTTTCTAATGAAATTATTAATCACCCTGGAAATGTTACTATGGTTTAGTAAAATCAAATGGCATTAATTTGCTAAAGAAGTTTGTATTCTTTCGGAGAGTATTAGATTGTTAGTTTAGCTTTGCATGTTGTGCTTTATCTTATAAACAGTAACCAGTCATTTGTATTTTACTTGGTGTGGTGTCAGCATTAAATTTAAAGTGTTGACTTAAATACTGCACACTTAAATTTTGGGGAACTATTGTACAATTATTTATCATTATTTTATTGTCTCTGCATTAAGATTACTAGTTTGCAGGCATTCCACTAATTTATTGTCTTCTCACAGGGTCTAGCGTGTTAAGCTCAACTTGCCTTCCGGTTGCCTGCATCCAGCAATGTCTTGCGGAATGGTCCAAACTGACAACTACTTTTCCTCCAGGTATATTTCTTTTATAGTAAAGAATAAATTTTGAATATTCAGATATATTACCGCACTTAAATTGCAATTATATTTGACTAATGTAAAACTAACATTGCAGCAGTTGGGTATCCAGGAGTGAGAGTAGTGAGAGCCTGGCACGACTTGACCTGATGACCCACGAGTATCCTGCCCAGGTTGCCGAGCCCATGATGACAATTGAAGACCTTCGTTCTCAGTTTAATTCCTGTTACACGTAAGTATTTACTTGTGTTAATCCTGGTAATTTTACACTTCCAAAAATATAATACTTTAATTAAAATCACAATCGGTACTGTACTTTAAACTTAATTCTTTTATGTACAGTAGAGATAAGTAAAATAATTTAAACTGTTAAGAGTACACTATATTGTTCAATAATTTTCTTTTTCTAATTGTAATGACTTCTTAACAGTTGTGGAGTTAGTTGGAGCGATAATCACGTTTCTCTTGACTGCCGAGAGTGTGGGGGATACTCCTTAGAACGGCCGTGCCCATTATGTGATGGAAAATGCCATAATTCCTGGCGAAGGGATATTTCAATGGTGAGTATAATATATTATATGAAATGGTAGTTGTCTTTTGTTGGTTAGAAAATAAACAGTAAACATGCCATGTTTTTATAATTAATACGCGATTTTACAGTTGGGAACTTTGTCGTATACTAATGACAAACTTGACATTTATACTTGTCAAAATATAAAAAATTGGAGAGGAGCATTCTTCATTTTAATAAATAAATTGGTTCAATTAATTTTGTAGAACTGCATTAAAATAAGTAAAACCCAAAATAAGGTTTCAGTTCAGTTACATAGTTTTGAATGTTAGAAAATTGTCAATGTTAACATTAATAATTTTACAGTCACACAGTGTGGGAAAAGCACATTGGGAAGGAGAATGTGGGCTTTCCAGTGAAGAGCGACCAGCGGTGCCCTCTTTCCTTGCCGAAGATGTTTTGGTACAAGGATTGGAAGACCTGTCAACATCATCATGAGTCCATAGTCACAGAGGTTCCTCCCATAGAATCTCTGCATGGGTGGCACTACTATAACAGCCCAGCAGGTCAGGTACAATTTACCTGCTGCATTACTCTCCTGTAGAAGTTAAACCATGATAATGATAATCCTGGCTTCTCTGTTTTTTATCAATGTAATTTATTTCATCATTGGTGCTCGATGGCAATTAATAAAGTCTTAAAGGGTATCTATTATGAATATGCGAAGTGAAAACCTTGTAAAATTAAAGTTACTCTCACATTAATATTTAATTAATTTATATGATTAAGCCAAAACAAGAACTTGTTATATTGTCAAGGGTAGACAGTGATCAGAGCTTGATAGAAACATTAATGGGAATTACAACACGGAGGATATATTTAATATGACAAAAAAATATGACCTTTGTGTGTGTAGAGGGCTATCATTATCATTCTTGTACGACTAGGGTTTCCTGCTTTCAGTCGGAGCAATATAATATTGCCAGACCTCGCAAGTATCGGGAGAATATTACTTGGTGTATGAGTGTGCAGCAAAGCTCAAGTGCATTAAACAGGTGCAGAGATAGCAGATTTTTTTTTTATATCTTATACTCCAACTCTAAAATGGATTTAAGTCTTTCATGTATATATGAAGAAGTTAAATCTTTGAATGTGTGATATAATCATGTGATATTAGCCAGTACAAAACAAAAAATTGAGGTTATGTATAATACCCATTCTGAGGACACAGGTTGTGCAAGGTAAAGTAGTTTTTTTTCTTGTCCCAAAGTGGCAAGAAAATTAAACAGGCACTAGCCACTAGTCTTTGAAGCCACCTATGTATGTTCGTGGTTAAATTTTATTTTCTTGGTGGCGAGGATAGTGCCGTGCTACATGCAGTGTGATGGAATAACAGAATTATTTTGTGAAGGCTGTGTCTAGTAAATATACAGTTACTGTTTCCTGCTTATTGACCAGGATGCAAAAGATCCTGCACCTGTTTATAATACGTTATTCTGTAACCAACCTGACCTGGTGGAAGTAGTTTCTACTTAGCCCATGCAAATATCTTATTTAAATTACAAATTAGGAAGTTTGTCATTGTTAACCAGAAGAATTTACAGTAACTTGCATTTTTCTATGCAAGTAAAGATTACAATTTTACATAGAGTATTTATGTAATGTGCTAATCAACTATGCAGTGAATAACATTTCTGGTTATCTATGGGCTAGTAGTGTTGCATAACAAATCAGTGGCTGTTAAATACTTAAAATGTTTTAGATGTACATGATCATTTGAGTTAAAAGTATATGCTTTTAAGAAAGCCTGACCATATTTTGTTTTATATATATATATTTACAAATGTTCGAATCTGAGTATTAATGACAGCAAATGCCTCCTCCTCTTGCAGCAGCTGTATTTTTGAGAGATCCTTAAATTTGCTAGTATTATGCTTACTTTTGCAAAATACCTGTACTGTTCACTACTCATTTTGTTTATCACCACAAGCACAAGCAAAATTATTGTACTAATTTTCTAAATACAGTATTAACATGCACATTCAGAATTATACCAACATTTTGCATAATGTACAGTGGTTTGTATTGAATTTGGAATCTTGTTTGCAATTAATGTACAGGCATTTGGTTCAATCCACCTTAACACTCAAAAATACCAGCTAATAAATTGTTATAGAATGAAAGTTGTAACTATCTTATCTTTACATTTACATTGCATCTGTACTTTTCTCAAGAGTACAGTATATGTTATCTGTAGATGTTGGCTCCCCCTCAAGTGGAAATATTTGTGTAAAAGACTAACTGTAAAGCCGTTGGATTTCATTTTTTTGTGAACGATGTTTTATCAATTTTATACTGATCTTGCACAATTCCCCTCATAATGTAAATACAGTATTTAGCTTTGGTATTACATCTCTCTTTTTTTTTTCCCCAATCATTCATGAGTTTGCCTGCTGGGTGCAACAGTTTTAAAAATGTACTGCAGAGACCAGTTACTGTCTTGTTTAGAAGTTGCACAAAATGTTTTAGAATGTTGTTACACCTTAATACATTATCTGCTAGTGTGTGTACCAGTCCAGTGTATACAGTTTATATTGATTTTAAGCAAAATGATTACTGGGTATGTGGTAGAAAAATAAGGGCTTAACTTTACAGAATTTAGTTTTCTAGAAATAGTGCTGCTGTTGCATGAATACTGGGTGCCATACAGCAGTTTTTTAAACAGACCATTATTGTAACACTGTTATTAACAACCACTAAACTTTTGGAAAGGAACAAGGCTTAAATATTTCCTTAATCTAAAGCCTAATCTAAATTAATCTTAATTTTGAGGCCAGGCTTAGGGAGTAGAACAACTCCCAGAATCCCATCAAGTAAATAGAACTTCTTTGTGGCACAAGTATAAAGAAAACATTTTATGGAATTTAATTTTAATTCAGAATTGTTCAGAATTCAGAAAAACTATTCCCCCCCCCCCTCCAAAAAATGGCAGCTTATTTCTATTTTTACTACAGAACATAAATCGAAGATAAAATTTTCTAAATTCTCAAATAAGATTGCTTTGAAAATCCATTATGTTGAGTAGATTGTGATTGGGTACAGATCAGCAAAACTAGATTTTATGAATAATTAATTTCTAGATTTGACATGATCCTACTTGCTAAATGGGATATAACTGTCTTTGTATGTAGTGCATTTATTTCAGTAATTTAGTGAAATACACATAGGTATTGCTTGAGATTGCATAAATTTCTTGCATAGGCATTACACAGACTACAGATAACTTTCCACTATACAGTACTGCCATATTACACAATTTTGCCAGCTAAATTGACAGTTTTTTTTTTTAAGATATGTAGATATATATGTACTGTATACAAGTATATGTATAGTAAGGCTTTATTTATACATGCTTATGTGTGAGTATATTTTTGTTTGAACAAAAGGGTAGTTATGCAATATTATATACAGGTAGTACATATGAGGATGTACTTTTATAGAAAATTTCACTGCCACATACAAAATCTTACCTGGAATGTTTCCAAAGCACTGAGCAGCAAGGAGAGAGTACTGTTGGCATGGTCACTTTTACCAATAAACTCTTGATCAAGAATACTTTTGTGAAGATTGCCAAATTGTAGAGGGGCTGTGAAATAATGTTCAGTTTTAACTTTTGCATAACAATTTATGCAACATTCAGACATGCATATTCTATATTGTATTTTCAGTATGCTTTATTCCTATATATATGCAACTTAGATTTTTTTTTTTACCAAGAACACTACATTCAGTACCATATTGTTTGCAGATATATAGTTTACACCTATTTTTATTATATGCTGCTTTCATGTTTGCCAGGGTGATTAAAACAGAATCTTGGCCATAAACATTAGGGCAAAAGTATTGCAGTTAGTAATGGCTCTACAGTATTGCATATTGTGATGCCCTGTGAAGTAATATACACACAATTGTTTACTAAGTTATTAAATGCAATTACTATGGCCAATGAAATGTTTAATGGGTGAAGGTTAATACTTAGGTGATATGGACACGTTAGAAGAATGCTTGAGAACTGTTTAAGGAGAAGGGTGTACAAGGGGATCAATACATAAAAGGGTGCAGAAAAGGGGTTAAGAGCTTGAATGCATTAAAGACTTGTAGAGTGATGAACTCCTGGACAAACATCAGCTGTGGCCATTAGGAGGGAGTAAGGTGTTGGGGATAGACAGCTTGAATAGGCCCCCACCAATTTTGCATACTTTAAACATATTCCATAATTTTTGCACATTACCGAGGCCATCATACTAAATGTGTTTTAAAAACCACTTGGATACATGTAAATGTTAAACTATAACTAAATTTGGCATTATGGTCCATAATTCCCTTTTACCCTCAACTTTTTAACTTTTATAAATACTATAGTACATTTCTATCAAACCTAGTTCATATCCATAATCAGATTCAGGTTTTATCATTGTAGAATCAGAATTCCCAGATGCATTTTACACATTTTTCAAATATAAGTTTTTTCACATCATTACTACATAACTCATCGAAATACTGTATTTATTTTGTTCTACTGTTTATTGGCTGTAAATAATATTTTTTCTGCAGGCTGTGTTTAGAATGTTTTTAATAAAATAATACATTTAAATTATTGTCTTATGAAATTATACCCCAATGTGCTTTACAAATTTACCGTTCTTTTAAAACCCAAGGTAAATTAAAAATATAGTTATGAAAAAAAGGTAAACGCCCACAGGGGGAAAAAAAAAAGGACATCACTCTCAAGAATGATTATGTACTACTACATACAAGTGGTAGAAGTGTGGTTAATTGACTCGAGCAAAACATAAGATTAAAGAATACTTATTGATGTACAGAATTTGATATAGTTTTAAATAATTAGTAGGTAATTTAATACCCAGCAATCTGTAATGAAACGTCTCTGTCTGGAGGAGCCTTGGTGGCTCCCTGAAGCTATCTTGCTGAGATTGCTACGCACTAAAGGGTCACATCAGTTGCAAAAGTTGTTTGATCTGCCAGAGCCTGAACCTGGCCCCTTCACAGAGGCACAGGGAACAGGTGACAGTTTGCCACCCCACTAGAAGAAGCCTTCAGAAAGTCAGCAAAGCTTTACAGATGACTGGATGGTATACAGAAAACAAAGCCTCAAAACTTCCAAATGATTCACACACATCAGATTAACTCAAACTCATTAGTACCAAATACTGCCTGTCTGGCCCCAGCCTTCAGTAAAAACTCCACCTCATTTCTAGAGCTGATGAACAACGCACAATGAACCAACGAACACGGAGGAGGAGGAGTGAATCATGGAGCTACTGTACTAGGATGTGTCCAGAAAGAGGTGTTTTGATACATTTAACATTGGGTTTCTGATTCAGGGTGTCCCCTGGTGGCACCCTGAAGCTAGCTAACCACAGAACAAAAAATGGGACATCAGGAAGGAGGAGAGGTAACAAACACTTGAAGAGAAACCAGGCTTGGGGGGAAGAGCCCAAGGCAACACACAATGTATACCAAAACAGTTGATGTATTAAGAATTGTCAGGGCACGCGTCCAGTTAGGTGGCAGAAGAAACCATTTAGGGACTACTTCAAAGTGATGCTGAAAGACTTGGACATCAACCCCAGCACATGGAAGTTGCTTGCTCAGGACTGTAGGCCGTGAAGGCTTGGAGGAAACGCGCTGTGTGCAAAGCTAGAGCAACCTCCAGCTCTACAATAGCACCCACCCACATACTGTATATCCCTTGTGTGGGCGAGCCTTCTGGACCCAGATTGGTCTAAGCCATCTCCAGACACACAGCCATCGATCTTCGACCTGATATTGCAATCATAGTCATCTTCAACTTCAAAGAAAGATCATCATCATCAGGGTCACATCACAGGGCAGTACCTTTAAAGACTGCAATGACCATCTTGCAAATTTGGCCTCAATCAAATATGTGGAGTATTTTCCACACCAGTGAGTGAAATGGGAGGAGTCTAGGGCCTGTAAATTTATATATGTATAGAGACAATGTGATCCAGAAGCACCTTTCACATGGTTTCAGTTAACACAGACTGTTGTCTCAGGGTGTGTGTGAGAGACCCAGGTAGGTGGCACTCTCCAACCCGTCCTCAGACCAAGTCTATTCTATCCAGTGGACAACCCTCAAAGATGCATTCATCAATTTTAACATGCTCTTCATTCAAAACAGGAATTTTCTCAAATATAAATTATTATTATTATATATTAATATATTGTACATGTTTAGGCACTGGTTAGGTTAAGTGTTTAGTTTATGTTGGCAATTATTTGTATTTGTAGTACGTGGGTGAAGCCTTTACAGCGTCGTGCTCTGAACAAAATTCGGCAGCGAAGCACTTCTTCCGGAAGTGTTCGAACGTCATCAGTTGCGAGTCTTGTGTAAACCGTTTTACATTCATAAACGGGGTTTGGCGGGTGCATGGAATGGACTTTGGCCTTTGTTTATAAGGATGGACTGCCGAGATTTCAGCACAGAGTGAAGCAGGAAGGTGTCATAATTGTCAGTTCAGTATTATTTGTGCATAGAACAGAGCTTCCCCAGTAACTCAGTTCGTGTGTATTTGGTGTAATTTATGTTGAGGAGGAGAGCCAGGTGACTGGGAAAGCAAGTGGCCTGGAAACAAAACAGGCGGTTTTGAGGATAAGTCAGCAGCTTGTAACTGTAGAATGGGTTAGGGAGAAGGCCGTGGACAAGGGTGTATTTGAAGTAGGATATAAATCGCGTCAGTGGAAGTTTTGTCTGATAATTGTTCCCTGTTTAAAGATCTCATTGTAAGTAAATCTGGATGGCTTGGTATATGTAAGAAGTGATGTCTGATGGGTTGTGTGTCTTTATCTTAGTAAAGACAGTCATTTATTTTGTCTGGTATTACAAATTCAAACAATCTTATCAGTATAAAGTACAGTGCTCCCAGTTCTAAGGGATACTTTGATAATACATCCCAGTTTGTTTAATTCTCTCTTTTTTTTTCCTTAACTTTCAAAAATTTAGATGGCTCCCTAGACATAAAATAATGTGGCAACTTCCCCAAGATTAATTAAATGCTCAGTTCAGGTTATCAAGAGAAGGTAACAAGAGATGCCTTCATATCCCCTCCCCTGGTGTTATGCCACTCATTGCTGAAACTCTTGAGACACGTGAGCCAATGCCCCACACAGCCTCAATCAACAGAAAAATGAAAATCTTGAGTTTAAAAAACTTTCACAAGATCTGAAGATGCAGAGGGAGGCCCCAAAAACAGGAATTATGACCTTAACAGCATTTACATTGTCACACCTGAAATAAAAGGCAAAGACACAAGGAAGCCACAGTCCACTTGAAGCCCAAAAAAACACAAGGGTTATGAAAAGAAAATGGAGCCAAAGCTACTAAGTTACCACAAAGGCAGAAGTCATTTACTGGTACCATTGGACACTGGGTTACTAAAGCACCAACCACAAGGGCAAAGGCCAAAATAGGCAATTATCATGGGGAAACAGTGATCACTGCAAAAATGCAGATTCAAGTATGGAAATAGATGCAGAAGCCTTAACCAGGTGAAGAGAGAGAGAAAAAAAAAAAAAAAAAAAAAAAAAAGACAAGGAAAACCAGCCAACTGGATCGTCACACAGACAAGCATGCTCGGCATAAGGAAAGTGTAGCCATGGACAAGAACAATCACTTAGCAACCCAGGTGCACCCTCAAAGACAGCACAAGGCCCATACACAAGGAGTGAGGCCAAGTGTAACTGCAACAAGCACACAGCTAATTATATTACTACACTTCCCATCAACACACTTTGCACTGGAGAACAGGTCCCGTGTGCTACCTGGTAGCAAAGTGACCCACGAGGAGTCAGCTCAGTGGAGGAACCCAAAATAATTATTGCTGGTGGAAAAGGGAATATGGGAGCTAACGTCCAAGAAAGAAACCCTGGAACACAGTCACAGCTAAATACAAAGCTAGGACACACAACGTGGGCGACATAACACAATCATGAAGGAAAACGAAAACAACAAAGCAGTGGCCCCAACAATGAATTTTCCAGGAATTGCCAATGCCATGTGAAGTGGAGGTTGGGTCCTGTCAGAGGTTCCATGCCCCCTATGCTGCGACTAGACAAATAAGTAAAAGTGGGCTGGAGTCTTTAAGTGATCTTGGCTATTGCCTGGTAGATGTTAGATAACTCAGAGTTAATCCATTTACCTCATGGCAACATTTTCTTGTCTTGTTTCCATCAGAGTATCTAATTTTCTTCAACTGGTACACAACTTGTTTTGTTGTGCTTATGCTTTTTTTGTTAATTTTTTTTTATCAGTTTTGAGTAAATCTTTGATCAAATTTGAGTAAATGCAAAAGTGATCTCAGAGGTCTGGTGGTTCATGGTATGGCATGGCTGGATCAGGACTTAGCTTGACAAGCCATTGCAGGAGCCCTGCCAGAAAAGTGACTAGCTTCTCCAAAGCTAGTCACTTTTAAGCTAGTTCAGCTGATACTGTGCAAAATGCAGGTCACCTGTACACCATATTAGTAGTAATGGAAGATGCAAAACTGATTAAAGACTAAGCATTCTATTTGAAGTTTTGAGCTAATGCAATTTCTCTTTAAACTGGGATATAAAAAATGTAAATGAGAAAGAGAGAGCTTACACAAAGTATCTGTATATACAATATACCATAGATTCCTGTACAAGACGGAAGGACATCATTTATGGCACTATAATATCCAATAACAATAACAGCCTTTAACTGCCATGCTGCTCAGAATTTGCACTCACAACAGCACATCTCTGTAATAAAGCTTAGTCATTGCCCATTTACACATCTTAAAAAAATTTAGACAAAAGAAATTACCAATAGCTAAATCGTTTTCCTTTTCATAATCCAACAGCACCTCAGAAAATGAAGCCTAGGCTGGGAGAAAATTATCTAAGATAATTTCCCAATAGAAAACCATCATGCTGATGAGATTCTTTTAACTGGTGCTATGGTCTAACAACAAATTAGAGCAAAATTAAACCACGTTAACTAATTGTAATACAGAATTGGTATACTGTATTTTAACAAACGAGTGGTTGCGAGTGTGAGGGGCAGAGTGTAGTTCGGGTAAATGAGGCGTGGTTTATGGCCTCTACTAGACCACGTCTCATGGGAAAGAGGCTGACCCTGGCACCATGTGGTTTTTCTAAGGGTAATTTTAGAGTGTCTTAGTGAGGCTTATGTCTGTTAACCTAGTTGGGGCTTTACCTTACAAGGGCCTGGCACCAGCCAAGTTCAGTTTGTCTTGGGTCGAGAGAGACGATAGAGAACCAGACAGGCCAGCCTCCCCCACCTCAGCCGACACCCGTGGTGGGGGAGTGACATCTGTATCAAAACCAAGAGATTTCAGTTGTGTTTGTCGTGACCATGATATTTGCGAAAAGTCGAAGTGTAGTGTATTTCTGTCATCCTAGTATGGTAGGATTGTGTGCATGGTCAAGACTCCCTTGCCTTGTGTTTATTTTGAAAAAGTACTTTAAAGTAAATTTTCTTGTGTGTGTTTGAAGTGATATATTCAATAAAGTGAATAATGAAAGTCCTGAGTTTGACAATTAAAGATGTGTTAAATTAAATTTTCTGAA